GTGATCCAACCATACAAGTTCAATTGTATGATCCTCTCCATGTTACAAACAAGAAAACTGAGACCAAAGTGAGATGACTGAGCCTGGTCTCCAGCGCCTTCCTAGAATTGCTTTCTGGCTCTGATTTAGTCCATTTTGTTTTCTTCTTTAATCTGAAAGGTTCTGACGAACAAATAAAATGTCTAAAGCTAGGGAGTAGAAATAGGCCACTGGGCCAAAAATCAGCTCATCTGGAAAAATATTTCCATCCCTCAGAAACAGTCATTGAAGTGATTTCTTTGGGAAAGGTTGTGACCATAGACAGTTTCATAATAATAACACTACACAGCAGAAATTAAATGTTTGTCATGTGCTTACATGTTTGGCTTGAGTTTCCCTGAAGTCCAATGAAGATGGCTCTGGTTTTCCTGTTTTACAGATGAGGCCCTAGGAGGTTGAATAGCATGGCCAAAACTTTGCAGCTAATCAGTGATAAAGCTGAGATTCAAATCCAGCAGGCTGGCCCACCACCCTTGGCCTTAACTGCTTTGAGAGCAGCCATATGCATTTTGGTTTACCTTTACTGAGTTTATAAGTGTGGCAATGAAGGAACTCTATTTTCTCTCAAGAACTTTCATAGTAGACCCAACTGTCACAGATAAATGTGAGCACCTCAGTTCCTAGTCTCCAGGTCTGAATATCTGGCCATTAACATTTGGATGTTCTTCAAAAAGTTTTTTTCTTTTAAGTGTTTGTTTTGTTCTAGAAGTTAAGATAGGTGCTTTCTATATCAGAGTGCCTGAATTCAAGTCCCAACTCCGCTTCCGTTTCCTGGTTCCTACTGATGCACACCCAAGGTAGTAATGGGTCATGTGGGAGACCCAGATTGAGTTCCCAGCTCCTGGCTTTGGCCAGGTCTAGTCCTAATCATCGTAGTCATTTGAGGAGCTTGTCAATGGATGGGCACCTGTGCCCTCTCCTCAAATATATACAATAAAATTTTTTTTAATTTTGTTACAGTTATATTTCAGTCTTTTTTTTAGAGCAACAACCAACAAAAATAAATCTATAACTATAATTTTATATCTTTTCCAGCATTCCTTAAAACTTTTGAAAAAGGGAGAGAGGAAGATTGAGACTCTCTACTTTCTACTGCTTCACTCCCTCGAATGCCTGTACCAGCTGTATCGGGCTGGTCTAGACTGAAGTCAGGAGCTAACCCAGAACTCAGTCCAGGTCTCCCACATGGGTAGTAGGGACCCAAATTGTCATCTGCTCTCTCTTAGGTGCATTAACAGGGAGCTGTATCAGAAGTGTGGAGTAACCAAGAATTGAGCATTTGAAAACACAAGGCCCGCTCAAGTCCATAATAAATATTATACAAGTTCTAGAAATTCTTTTGCTTTTACATAGTCATCAGATTCATCCTCAATAGTTTTTCTCTCCTAAACCACTGACCAGGGCATCCTCCTCCTCTGGTATGCCTACCTTGGTTCTTGGCCCATTGCGCACCTGCAATGGGTCTTCTTCAGGAGCCAGTGACTTCACAAACTCATAACAACAAAGTATTTCCATTAGCCATGTTTGAGACCTTGCTTTACTTTCCTGCTCTCAGCTCCTACCTCCTCAAACCTATTAAAGTCTGAAAAGAAGACCAGTAAAATTAAACCACTGCAGGAAGTTGCTGATTCGAGGGAAATCTGTGCACTACTTTTGAAATCAGAATAATTCTTCTCTGTTGCTTTGCCTTAGCAAGATCCACACTTCTTTTGATAAGTATCTTGGCATCTTTTATGCACTGAACTTTTAATTCACTGTTGTTCAGCAGCAAAGGCTTCACAGCCTACTTTTGCTGGGGAGTTGGGAATTACAGAACTTCTCCCTGTGTCTGAAGCTGTTTGCTGCAAGAACTGGTGAGACTGTTCTCCAAAGACAAAGCCTTTCTCTGTCCAATCATAGAGGGTAGAATAGGGTGTCAGAAATGGCCAGGGATTTTACTGTTGTGTAATCTGGACTTGAATTTTGACCCCATTTTCAGCTTTTAGCTGGAACTGCCATTTCCCCATCCGTGCTATGATTATATATGAGCAAAGAGACTGGTTGTCATTCACCAGGAGAGAAAGGATGGCAGACTCTTGATGATATGGATGTTGCTCTTCCTGACCCGTCATTTGGATAGAGAGCCAGTGGTGGCCAACAAGCTACCACAAACCCATTCAGAGCCTAACTGAAGGTCAGTAGTAGTTCAGGATATAGGGAGATGAGTTCAAATCTTAGCCATAAGAGGTGAACTTGGGGGGTGAGTACTTATTAGAAGGCCAGGAATCAAATCACTGGCCACAACAACCAGCCTACACATTAGTCACTCTGAAGTCCAAACACCGGATTTAGAAGCAAGTCTCTTTGGATACCACTGAGATGATGCAGTGTTTATGCAGAATCTTGATGGAAATTGGACCATGACATCCTTTATCTGGGAAATATGTAAGTTTCTTTCATGGTGACAGTTATGATAGGCAGGAAATTTCAGTCATGTAAACAACTGAATGAAGGTATGAGTTATGTGCTGTGGTCTGAATTTATTTGACCCCAAAACTCAAGCAGGAGCTTGAGTTACATTAAGAGGATGGAGAATTAAAACAACTATGGTGTTAATAGGTGGAGCCTTTGGATCACAATTAAGTTTCCATGAGGCCATGAGAGTGGAACCTGTGTGATTGAGTTCCAATCACTTTATAAGGAGAAGGAGCGTACCCATACATGACCAGGCACTTGTGCTCCTACCGTGATCAGTGTTGCAGTCTAGGAGGGCAGGTAGGAGAATGGCCAAAGCTTGTGATTGGCTGTTTGGATTTGAATCTATAGAACCATAAATCAAAAAAAAAAAAATCCTTTTCTTTGTTGGGTAGCTTGTTCAAGTATTGAAGAAGCCAAGAAAGGAAAAGAGAACAAGAAGTAGAAGGCAAGAGCTTGGAGCAGAATTTCCGCTTATTATCATTAGACCTCTGTTTTCACATTTCAGCACTGGAAGGGAAGGGGCCAGCCATGGTGCTTCCAGTGAGCATAGCTGAGCCATGGTTTCCTGAGGGACTGAGATCCTCCACCTGTGTCTGAAGGAGTCTGTTCTTCATGTGTGCAAAAAAACAAAACCAGGCATCTCTGTGTATCTCCTTTTTTCCTTGGGGGATGATGAATGATGAGAAGCCAGGAACTCCTTTGAAATTCTTGTTTCCCAGTTGTCTCTGTGACCCAGAGGCAGAACCACACCAGAGAAACCCAGGAGCCAGCTGGCCTGAGCCCTGGGCTTACTCTAGCCCTAAACCTTACTCTACCAGGAGTGACCGGGAAGGCACTTTACCTGCTTTCTCATCTGGAAAATGAGAGGCCGGATCTGGCTGTGTTTGAGACCTCTCCTGGCTGGCGCTAAACTCATCCAGAAGAGAGTAGTGGGAGTGAGCAGCCATAACTGATTGTATCTGCATTCAAAGACATGGACACAGTGGCCCAGGCCAGTATCACTTTCCAGGGCAGCCTGGGAGTACTTCAGGCACCTTCAGGAAAGGTGTGGGGATAACCTTTCATTGCTCTCAGACAATGTTTCCATTCTTACCCCTGGATGAGTTAACAGCAGAAAGCCCAGTGAAGGAGAAACTGGCCACCTTTGGCAATCAATGTTGGGAGGGGTCTGAGCCCCGATATTTTCAGAGGAGATCCAGCCTCCTTCCCTGGCTTGTGCCTCTCACCTTTTCCTTACCCTCATGCTTGTTCATTCCAATTGCAGTCCCCTTCTCCCCCACATCACCCTGTCTTTTTGCAACCTCTGCTGGGTTTTCCTGCTCTGTCTCTTGGTGAAATGGATAGGAAGACAGCACCCCAAAAGGTTGGGCATCCCCTATAACTGCCAGCCCAACCACATACACCCTTTAATCCCTGTATTCTGTTGAGCCAGCTGTAGTCTCCTCATCAAATAAGCACAGGCCCAGAGCTGTCACCACATGGCCTGCAAACCAGTCACTATGGCAACCAGATTTCCCTCCCTGCTCCTGTGCAAAGAAAATGGCTGCCAGGGGAGGGGCCCTCTGAGTTCCTTTGACTCAACCTGTCTCATTTGGACCCCTGATTCATGCTGACGCTAAGAAATTCCACACATTATGTCTGATCCTATCATAGCTTTTGGGAGGCAAAAGGAAGTCGAGTCAAAGGAATAAAGCTATTTTTCTACCAGAAGCCGTATTTTCATGAGGTATGGTTATCTGCTCTGAACAGATAAATGAAGAGCAGAAGGAATACAGGAATCTATGGGATCTGGCACAGTGGATTTTGTCTTATCAGAGTAATGGAATGACAGGGTGCATTCAAATAGAAATACGGGGGAAGTAGCCAAATGATGCAGGGAATTCTGTAGGACACAGACCGTAGAACCTCTGAGCAAATGACAGATTAGGATGGTGCTGTGTGATGTAATTCTCCTGTTGGGGAATTAAGCAAGTGGTTCCTCTGGTCCTGAACCACCAGAGCCTTTGGGCATCTCTGACTCAGGGTCAGTCTGCACTTTCATAGTGACCTCTTCCTTCTCAGTAGCAATGAAGTGTGACCATGTGTGAATTGTTGATAGATAACCCTGTTCTGCGCTTGATTCTGACACAGCCATGTGACCTTCCAGAATGAAGTTCCAAAGGGAACTAGTTAGGTGGCTATTTCTTTGGACCACAGAAGTGCTTCAGTTTAAAACAGGAGTGTCGGGTCAGCAACATTTAGGGAGGCGGTCATCCCAATTCCTCCATCCAGGACACCTTGTACACTGTCTGGTGGGGAGAACAATTGTCTAGGGAAACCCTCCAGGCATGTCTACCCATTGTTGCTTCAGGAGGATGCTTGGGTGATCATGAGTTCTCCAAACCCAAACAAGACCTTCTTTTCACACCTTCTTAAAGTGAACTGAAGGACCCCATTTGGCAAAAAAAAAAAAAAAAAAGTCTGGGTTTTCTTAGAATTTTGAATTAAAACTTTTTTTTTTTCAGTTTCCCTGCAGGTGGATATTGTTCCCAGCCAAGGGGAAATCAGCGTTGGAGAGTCCAAATTCTTCCTGTGCCAAGGCAAGTGCCCCATGTCCCTCTGCATTTTAGAACTTGTCTCAGCCTTCCAGGACAGAGCAGAAGTCAAACACACACCACGTGGAGTTGTTAGCAGTGCTGTGCTGCAGAGACCATGTTATCACCATAGCTGATAAGCCAGAGCAGTTCTCAGGCTCTCTGCCTTCCCTCTCAAGGCTGCTCCACCATAGTAGTAATCTGTGTCTGCTTAGTATTGGAGGAAGGTTGGAGTTTTCTTAGGAAAGTCAGCACAACTCACGGACTAGTCAGTCTCTGGGGTATCTTGCATATCTACATCTAAAGCTCTGTAAATGACAGTGGGGGACCAGCACTGGGACAGAAATGACTCTTCTATGGATTGGCTTAGGGCTTATTGCTCAGGACCCCAGAGACTTGGAAATCCAAGCCCTAAGACTTGCCAGGAAATCAAACAGAACTCAGACATCACTTCCATTGTTGAGGGCTTCTGTCCTAGCTTTCCCAGGCCTGGTGGGAACACCAGTTTTATGTCCTCATTCATTCCCACCAGTGCTCTGAGATACACTAGACCCAGTGTCCTTGTTTTGTTGTTTAGGAAATGTGTCTCATGTCCTCCGCCAGGATAATTATCAGGAAATATCCAGTAGAGGAAAGGATATTATATCAAACGTCAGGTTCCCTGTCGTATGTGGCTGGGTTCTGAAGCTTGGGAGAACCAGGAAAAAGCTAAGCTAGGTGTACACTATGGCATTTAGCGAGCAGCTCCTGGCAGAGAAAGACCTTTACAAGCACCACAGTTTGTATCGATTAGGGTAGCAGTGGCAGCAGAAATTTCAAGGATATGGCAAGGCTGCTATGGAGCCCACAGCACATCTTGCAAATAGCAATAGTTATTAAACACATGATGGGCCCTGAAAGGAAACGATTTCATTTCTATACTAAGAGACTGTGTGGGCTGAGAAGGGTGCTGTGTAGAAGGGCAGGACAGACCCATGACACTGGATCCCAGAACACCTAGTCCGGTGGCAGCTCAGCACTGAGTGCCAGCAGTCTTCCCCCGGCATGTTGTTTGCAGCATTTAAGGCAGTGGATTTGCCTATCTGAGGCAGAGGATCCTGAGATGAATGACACGCATGTCACTTTGCACGGGCAGGTGTTGTTTGAATGCAGCCAGAATCTGTACAGCTAGACCAGCCTGTGTCCCACAGCTTCAAGTTCAGGACACCCTAATCTGATTCCTCACAAGCAAGCTGGCCACTGGACTAAGTACAAGTAGGCTCTTGAACTTGGATTCTAGGTCTATGAAATCCTTTTCTCTGAGCCATATCAACTCCCAGCTTAGTGCCTGAAGCAGAAGAGGTCCCTAACAAACACCTCTTCTCTTCCTTTCCCAAGGACAGGAGCTTATGACTGAATACCGGCATGTGTGGCTGGTGAGTTCTTTCCCAATACTCTCAGAGGAGTTAGGAAGAGAATAACAAAAAGTGATAGCTGGAGAAGGGCTGCCTCGTGTTCTGATACAAACACCACTCCCTGACATCCCCAATCTGAACCCATTGGATGTTGGTGAGAGGCAGCTGTCACTCCAGCAGGGGACTGAGCCTTCTTTGTTTCACTTCTTCCTTAGTGGCAGGGGATGCCAAAGACAAGGACATCTCCTGGTTCTCCCCCAATGGAGAGAAGCTCAGCCCTAACCAGCAGCGCATCTCGGTGGTGTGGAATGACGACTCTTCTTCCACTCTTACCATCTACAATGCCGATATTGACGACGCCGGCATTTACAAATGCGTGGTCACTGATGAGGACGGCAGTGAGTCTGAAGCCACGGTCAATGTCAAGATCTTCCGTAAGCACTGCCCTCACCTTATCTTCCATTTTCTCTGTCAAAGAGATAGATGATGAACAGTAAGAAACCCACTTCCAGGCTCTGCCAAGGCCTGGTTTCCTTTCTTTTTTTTTTTTTTTTTCATTTTATTTGAAAGACAGAGAGATAAAGTCAGACTTCTCATCCACTTGTTTACTTTCCCAAATACCTACAATGGCTGGAGCCAGGTTAGACTGAAGCTGAGAGCTGAGAACTGAATCTAAATCTCCCACATGTGTGGCAGAGAACCAATGACTTGAACCACCTGCTTCCCATGTGCCTCCCAGGGTGCACGTTGACTGGAAACTGGACTCAGGAAGCGAGCCAGGATTCAGACCAAGGCATCTGATAGGAGATGGGTTCTTAAGTGCTGCACCAAAGTCAAACAGCCCTGAGCTTTTCCTGGCCTGAATTACAGCTCCAGGACTTTCTCCAGTGTTATTTGGTGGGTTAGGAACCCTCACCCGGATTCCCACTGATCACAGCTTCTCCCCTAACTACCACTAAGGGCCCCCAGGCTGTATATGCAAATCAGCTTCTGGAGGCTGTCCTGAGCGCCTCTGTCCCTTCTCCAAGAGTTTCCTGGTGAGTGTGCAATGCAAGCTTTCCTTCTCATTTAAATCTCTCCTGCTGGTGATGCAGCCCACAAGCTCAGTGGGGTGGGGACTGTTATCTGAACATGCTGTGCCACTCCAAACAGGCAGTTCTCATCACCACCGAAACTCATTCTGGAAGTGGCTTCTCATTACCTTGTTATCTATTCTGTTGGCTAGAGTCATGGTAGGTGACAGCTAATGGAATAGTATTGATTGCCACAGTATTTGTGGCCATTAAACATGCTTTTCTTCTGAGTGTTTTTTTTTTTAATCTTTAGCTTTGTCTCAGCTGTACCAAAGTTGAGGTGGAGTTGGAACGGGGTCAAAGTGGAAGGCAAATTAAAACCCTGATGACTCCTGCTCTTCACTATAAAATAGCTGCTCTATTTATGCCATATGCAAGACTTCCCTTTCCCTCTGTGGATATCTTGCACAACACACACAATTCCTTTAAGTACTTCATATGAAAATAGAAAAGATTGTTTTGAAGTTCATGTACAATTTTTTTATTATTATTATTTTGTAAAGTTCATTTTTCCTGAACTTTTGAAACCCCTTCTTGGGAGATATTTAACACTTAGTGTTTAGATGTTTAGTTAGCAGACACTACATATTTTCCTGCTGACATATTGTGCTGAATTCTATGCATGGCTGAATTAGAGACCCCCTCCAGTACCACTGCATATATGAACTGAGAATTGTCCAAGGCTCAAGTTCCAGCAAGTCAGGTCTAGCAAGTAAGAGTCTTTGTGGGGAAGCTAGTCATGTCCCTCACTCTTTTCCTGCTCATTCTCTAGAGAAACTCATGTTCAAGAATGCACCAACCCCGCAGGAGTTCAGGGAGGGAGAAGATGCTGTGATCGTGTGTGATGTGGTCAGCTCACTCCCCCCAACCATTATCTGGAAGCACAAGGGCCGAGATGTCATCCTGAAGAAAGATGGTAAGACCCAAGTACCCTGGCAGCCACCTGCTGCCCCTGGGCTCCTGTGTTCCTGAGAGCTCCACTTCACCAGCCTTTGAGAGATTCCAGGCCAAACTCAAGGTCAAGTGTCCCAGAAGGCCCCTTCAGTTCTCCAGGTCCTAAGTGGCTGGGTGGCTCTAGCTGGTGGACTTGACTCCTGATCTCCTCTCCAAAGCAGAAGACACATTTCCAATAGACTGCTACTCGGGGCTATATTTCAGAGCTGGGAGCACATTTTCTTATATCAGCCTCAAGTCCCATTCTCTAAGACTGTGGTCAGGACAAAGAGGCACAGCTACCTGTCTGCAGATGCCAGAGTTCTCTGACTGATCCTTGGTGAACCTGCCTCTTGTCTCTTCCAGTTCGATTCATAGTCCTGTCCAACAACTACCTGCAGATCCAAGGCATCAAGAAATCAGATGAGGGCACTTACCGCTGTGAGGGCAGAATCCTGGCACGGGGTGAGATCAACTTCAAGGACATTCAAGTGGTTGTGAATGGTGAGGAGATCCTTGCTTTCTGCTTGCTGCGATGCTGCAGCCTTGGTCCCTGAGGTCCGCAAAGTGAAGCCTGTCCTGACTTGCTCATTTGTGTCAGCTGAATCCTCTCTCTGTCCATCATAGCCTCTGTAGGGTGCATGTGTGTGTGTGTGTGTGTGTGTGTGTGTGTGTGTGTGTGAGAGAGAGAGAGAGAGAGAGACATACACTTGTCTTTGTCTTTGACTTTCTTCTCAATTAAGAGTGGTTGTGGTGCAGTTATCGAATCTCCTTCCTTGCAACACTAGAAACTTTCCCTATGCCTTACTAATAAACTCTTATCAATCTTCATTATCCTTGATGTTGCTGTAATTGTGAAGTTAGTCCCCTCGGTTCAATATTTAAAGAAAATGTTACAATCAATTCAGGCCTCAGAATAGTTGGAATCATGGTCATGGGCATATTAATCTTAATTTGCAGTGTCAAATAAACACACCCGTGAAATCGATCTGACATTTACAAGGTGTTTACAGGAAATTATAATGTCAGTACTAAGAATATAAGTAAGTCACGGCTGAATTGTTTTGGCTGTTGATACGTAATTTTTGCCAAACTTTCCCCCACTCATTCCTTTGGTTAAAAACAGTTTGTGCACTAAGTTGCTTATGCCAGTCCCTGAGTGATGTCACTGTGGTGAGCTGGGATGTTTCAAAATGGTATTAACCATTTAACCACCAGAAGCAGTAGTGCCCTGCTTTTTCCGGTGCTGAGTCCATTTAAAAATCAATTTGCATTTTTATTTACTTTAAAAGGCAGAGAAAGACAAGGACAGACAGTGATTTTATACCTACTGCTTCACCCCTAAACAGAAACTCAATCCAGTCCTTTTGTATGGGAGGCAGGGACCAAATACCCAAGTCATCCCTGCTGCCTCCCAGGGACTGCTCAGGAGCAAGACTTGAACCCGGTGTACCTGGGCAAGGAACACAGGTGTCCCAAGTAGCATACCAACCACTGTACCAGATTCCCTCCCCAAGAGCCCTTATTTTAATGTAGAAGTCCCCATTGACTCTGGTAGCTGTAAAGTTTTTAGTGCATTATTGAGAAAATAGATCATAATAAATAGCTATTGTAAGTCAAATAACATTTTTAAGTAAGTGAAGTGTATTGTAGCATCTGAACTCCCGAAAACCAATAACATGCATTGATTGATGAATTCTTTATTCCATGTACACACCCACACCTTCAGATCCCTTACACTAACTCTGCAGTTACCCAGGATCCGACCCATAGGCCACGCCTGGCTAGGGGCCTCTATAGCATCTCTGCGCTAGGCCACTGGGTTCATCCACATTGCCACAGACTCCTTTGACCCTCTTCTCTCCTCAGTGCCGCCCACCGTCCAGGCCAGGCAGAGTGTTGTGAATGCCACCGCCAACCTCGGCCAGTCTGTCACCCTGGTATGCGATGCCGATGGCTTCCCAGAGCCCACCATGAGCTGGACAAAGTAAGAAAATGGCCTGTACCATGTGTCATGTGTTAGAGAAGGGGATATCCCAGAATCTACTTTGTTTGGGCATTTCTGGGGATTTGGGGTGAGCTTCTTGGGAATATCATAAATGGATGAAGAATGAGTGAGTTTTCAGTAAGGATCTCATGCCTTGACATTGTATAATGCCTCCATTTTCAGTCTTGTAAGAGGCAGGGCTGGAGGGTGTGATCTTAGGAGGCCTCTTCTTGAAAGCTTCCGGGAAAAGTCAGAGGACTGGGTGAGGAACAGAATGTAAATGTGGACATAGGGCTTGGGGCCTTAATATTTTATGAAGCCTAAAAACCATGAGCAAACTGAAAACAAGCAACTGTGTGCTCATATTCACAGCCCTTTGCATGTTCACACCCTTACAGGGATGGAGAACAGATAGAGAAAGAGGAAGACGATGAGAAGTACGTCTTCAGCGACGACAGCTCTGAGCTGACCATCAGGAAGGTGGGTAAGGACGACGAGGCTGAGTACGTCTGCATTGCTGAGAACAAGGCTGGTGAACAAGATGCGTCCATCCACCTCAAAGTCTTTGGTAAGGGAAGTGGGATTCCAGGCCGCTGCTCTGCCAAACTTGCTCTGATCTTATACCCTTTAGCTGTCAGCAAGATCCTGTTTGCTGTACAAGGCAATATATCCCGTATGTATCCGTCTCTTGCCTATTCTACTACCTAAGCCCTAGTCCAAGCCACCATCACTCTTGCAGGGATAAGGTGATCACCTCCTTTGTTGGGCATCTTCAGTCTTCCTACTCATAGTGTCATCCCTTGGGTGAAAATTGTCTAATGGCTTCCCATTACAGCCAGAAAAAAAAAAATCCAAACTGCCTGTTGTGACCTTCAAGATCTGCATGAGCCAGCTCTTGCCTCCCTTCAATCCTTGTCTTTCTTTTCACTTTGCTCTCCAACCACACAGACCTTTGGACACACCGTGCTTGTTTCACATCCCTGGGACATTGCACTTGGTATTTCTTCTTCTAGGTGTATCACTTGCTCACATCTGATCTGAGCTTCCTTCTTCTCATCCATTACTTAGCTCTCAGCTAAATCTCACTTTCTCAATAAACTTTTCGTTCCCTGGTTATACAGGTCCCTCATCCTTACTCCCACTCTCAACACCTCCACTAGTTACTTTCATTACCCTTATTGTCTCTTCTCTGTATTTATGAGTAACTGATATAATCTAGTTCACGTAGTTGGAGGGGGGGATTGTTTGTCTCCCACTTTTATAAGTTTAGCCACAAAATCCAGCATAGTTGGTGGGTATTGTCTGTCTTACACATTGCTTGTCCCCAGCATTCTAAAAATACTGCCAGACTTATTATTGGCCTTTGACAAATAGTAATGATTGACTGGCTGTTTCACCCCCAGCCAGTGTGAGCCAGTGCCATAGAAAGTCAGAAGGAGGGCTATCAGATTTCTACTCCTATCATCCTTGTAAATTCAGGACTGGAATGCACTTGACCTAACCTTGGGAAAAAGTTTGTTGCAGAGGGTAGTGTCTCCTCATGGCTTTCAACTCTCTAGGAAGAGATGAACTAATCCGCTGTGGATGGCTTTGCCCTTGTACAGGTAGCCAATGGACAGTTTTGAGGCTTATCTGTCTCACGGGTCACATGTGCACCTGGGAACCAGAATGGGGACATGATTGTTTAGCCTGGTCAAAAGAACTGTTGGAACTTGGTTCAAGTTAACTGTGTATACTTGAGAATGAAACCTGAACTTCATGAAAAATGCTCTGGTAGTTTGTTCCCTAATTCCTGCCAATCTTTCCCAATCACTCCAATTATAGGTTTTTACACATTATAGAAAAGGACAGATACACTTGTTCATTTCTTCCATCAATCAGCAAATATTTATTAAGAATCATTGTCACTGGAAAGGGAGAGCTACAGAGCCTAATAGGTGTGTGTCTTTGGCCCTGCAAAACCCCAAAAAGGAGCTAAATAGATAAGCATGTAAGTGATAATGAACGCTGTCGGTCAAAAGCATTTGAGCAACTGCTGTAAGCCCAGGCAGAGCTGGATTCACAAGAATCACAGGGACTCGGGTTTCATTGGTGAGATCACAGGCTAATGGAAATGGCCAAAGTTAACATCTTTAATAAGAGCCCTAAAACGACATCTTAAGAGCAATATGTAAGGTGTTAGAAACCATCTCTGGTCATTTGTGATTTAAGTTGGGGAGGTCATCACAGATCAGATGATGTGCTCTTGCACAGGGAGGGCCTGCCCAGGTGTGGTGACAGGAGCATTTCAGGCACCTTGGACCCAGGTACAGAGGCAGGAAAAGTACCTGTGAGACTGAATGACAGGTGCCTGTAAACACAGATATGCCTCCAGTGCTTAGGACAAGATGGAGCATATAGTAGACACAAGTTTTAGGATAAATGAAGGTACAGTCATTAGTTACATGTGAGTAAGTTGGGCCTAGAAATACATTATCATCATTTTCCCAAAGAGAGCAGTACTTTCAGATATCAGCCCTCCAAAGTAATAAAACCCAACAAAACCCAACATAAACTACACACTTTAATACTGTGCTGAGCAATGAAAGAGGTGTTATCGATAAGTGGGCCATTTCAAAAATCCTGTTTTATAAATGAGGACACCAAGAATAGAGTGATTAAGTACTTCCTCTCCATTCCCGGGATTCAGAGGCAGACGGCCTCCAAGTGCATTCTCTAAGCTGACAATGGACTTCTCTGCTCTTCAGAACCCAGGAGGTCATGTAACATGTCTAAATTACATGGAGAATGACTCATAGCACTGGAACCTGTGTGCTCCCTCTCACCATCCTGCAGCTCCCGCAGTCTCCATAGAAGCACAACAGCTCTACATCAGGAACAGATTGTGATGTACTTTCCTGGGCTCTCCAATGGTGCTGGCTGCCCAGCAAGGTTGAATGGTAGTGCCTGATGAGCCACGTGTAGTTATAATAGAATGAGAGGGTGCAGAAGGCTGCGGGAAGGAGTACAGAGGCAGGGAAAAGAAGATGGGGGGGGGCCTGCAAGACACCTTTCACTCATACCTTTGTACATCACACACACACACACACACACACCAGTTTGCTTCTCAACCCCACAGTTGGAAGGGTGTGCAATAGAGAACACAAGAGGTGGCCGAGCTCCTAGAGAGGCAGGTAGGGAAAATGTGAGTTGTAAGTACTATGTCCAATCTAGAACAGGAAGTCTCCATAGTATAACCTGGTGCCTCAAACACATCCCCTTGCCATCTGCACTTCACCCTGACCTCCCAGCTTCCCCTATGAGTTGAGAAGAATACAGAGCTAGGGAGCCGGATGCAGAGGGCCCAGCCAGGCAGCCAGGGTTATGTTTGTCCCACCTTTCCCTCCTTCTTCCTCTTTCTAAGTGCCATTGTGGACCATCACTGAGTGATGGGCAGGAGGAGACAAAGCAGACAGGTTGCTTGCTATAGCAGTGTACTGCCATGTGGTAAAAGGTAGAGAAGCCTGTAGTAAGATACTGAGGAAACGCTCAGGATGCCTGTGGCTTCAGAAGGGCTGCAGTCACTATAGAAGGGACAGATCTAAATTAGAGACTGTTGTGAGTGGACCTCACTGATACCACTTTTTCCTAAGAAAGGGCCCTATACTAGCATGCTGTTGCCCTAGTTATCAACTCACTGCTTCTTTTACCAGGCATTTGCATCCCATCTTCATTTAAATTTGGCAGTGAGTTTCCATTACTCCTACCCCATGGGCCCTTGTGAGAAGTATTTTTGTCTCCACAATTCCTATTGTGCTCAAGTGAATGCTCTCAAAGTTTCAGCGTGTTTTGGGTAAGGCAAGGTCTCCACAGGGAGGAAGCTTTGCTGAGCTTGCCCCTTGTAACTAAAGCAGCTCTCTTGGGTCACAGCAGAGGACCAGCAGGGATCTACAGGAAGATGCACCTGCTTCTGCTCCTGGTATTTTATGCAGCCTTTCTATGCTCAGAAGCAACCTCCGCCACCACTGGCTGTCATTGGGTTGCAGCAATCTGGACTGGGGTGGGAGGAGACAAACTGGTTCTCAGTGGCATGCTGCAGAGCCATGGATATGCTTGGACAACTCACAGAACAGCTGTCCTCATAGGAGAGTTTGTGGGGAAAAGGGTGCTATGTGGGAAACAGTCAGAGGCACTAAGTCCCATGGAGACAGATGGATGAAGAGCAGGGATCTGAAAGTCCAAAGAGGAGTTGACAGGTGGGAGCAAGGACCATCAGCAGGTGGAAGCTGGAAAGCTGCCCCTAGGGGTTGAAATGCAAAGGGAGGGACTCCTTTACAAGTAGAGTGGCCCTGCATCTGTCCCTGCTGGCCCTACGAAGACCATCTTCCCAGTGGAATTATGTAGAATGCCCCATCACATTTGAAGATTGTCCCCATTTAGATGATAAATGACATATGTAGCTATCCTTTGTCCACAGTAGTATTCTAACCCTAGACCTGCAGAGGTAGCTTGGACAGCAGCCCTGCTTTGGGAGTAGCTAAGGAGATAGTAATCACTGAGCCTGTCAGCCTTCTTCCCAAATATCTTCTGCACTCTGTATAAAGTCGGCCTTTGTCAACATGTCTTTAGTAAAAAGAGTTTTCCTTTGCCTTAGGGCTTGCACAGTGCACCCTTTGTAGCCATCTGGGAAATGATGCCCCCAAGACCAAATATTGACCCATGGAAACTGACCCTGACTGTCTTCTGTTGACCTTTAACTGCCAGTACAGGGTGCTGTGGGTTTGGAAGAAGGTCAGCAAGACACTTTCAAGATTTCATATCTGAGGAGGATTCCCACAGCCTTCGTAGGCCTGTCTCCTGATCCCAAAACTTGACTTTAATGAGTGTATTCTTTTTTAACTTTTCATTGTGTAATTTTGATACTGTAGAAATTCAAACTTTATTTTACCTTTATTTTACTTTATTCTATTTTTCTTTTTATGGTTTGTGTCTAGTTTGTTGTGTTAGTCACTAAAAAAAAACCACTTACTGCTCAAAATTTATCTGTCTAACATGTACTTCCTTAAAAGTCACTGTGATCAAGCTAGACTCAAAGTCTTCTTACAAGAAAACTGAGTGCAGGTGGATTGCATAAAATTTGTAATCATCTGGCTGCCTGGGATGAAGATAGGCTTATGTGCTAGCCATCAGAAAAAAAAAGGGGGGGGGATTATCTAAGCAGGCTGTTTGTGCAGATTAATTTCAGGAGAATATCTGAACTCTACAGAAGCAAGCATTTTCTGGGGGGTGGGGAACAGGAATGGACAAGTTCAGCTCTATCATTGTCATTAAAAAACATTAGGGACCTCAACTCTGGATAAATAGAAGCAGTTTTTTATTAGCCTACTTGGAGTGACTGCATGAATTTGACTATAAAGGAATTGTCATTATTACAAAAATTATCTATAATTCTGATTTATTGCCTGGTTTGTTTATCTAGCCCGGCCTTTCCCCCTATTTGTGAAACAAGTTACGTTTCTGCAGTGTTATCTTTTCTACAAAAGGTTCAGCAATTTCAGGGTATAATTGTTTTAAATTGAGAAAATTCAATTTTCTCTAATGTTTTAACATTTAACTCAGCTTTGGAATGCTTGTATTTTATTGCATTCCCCAAAACATTTGGAAAATGAACTCATCTCAGCTCATCTTCCTTCCCATCCTCTGCTCACCCAATATTCCCCCAACCAGGGACCCCCTGTTTCCTTCCTGGAGTGAATGCCAGCACCATCTTTCCAGTCCTTTAGGATCTGAGTCGTTTATGCACATGCTCCATCCTTCCTGAGACTCTTCCCCCTGCTCCCTGTGCTCTGTTCACTGACCAAAGAGATAGATGCCCTCAGCTCTCTGCCCCTGCTCAAATGACCTCGTTGGGGACTCAGTGTTAATGTGCATCTGGGTCATTGCCAGGGTTTTTGAATTGGCTTTCTCACTTTAGAAATATTGCCCATTCTCAACCATCTTGGATGTTTGCTAGATTAAATTCTTGAAATACAAATGATCCCTCATTCTTCTACTCAGACACTGTCGGCGGTTCTCCACCGGCTGTGGATATGTGCAGGCAGTCCAGTCTTGCCTTCCTCTGCCTCGTGCCACACTGATCTTTTCACGTGTTCTTGCTTTTTGCTTTGGTCAGGCAGTTTACAATGCATAGAATGACTCTATTTCCACCCCAAAGTGCCACCTGCAGAGAAGCTCATGGCCCAGACTTAAGATGTTCTCCTCCTAAAGTTCCTGACAAAGGGACTGCCCTCCCTTGGCATTCTGCCTTCTGCATACAGTGTCCCCATGCCACCACCCTTCCTCTAGCAGATGTGGTTTTGATTATTACTGTGGCTTTGTGTGAGCCCCTTGGGTTCAGCTCTGAATCTCCTATACTACCTTCATTAGGCCTTAGTATGTTACAAATAGATAACCTTCAGAGTATAGACCTGTGTCCTCATTCAAACCCAGGAAGCTAAATGATCAGATGAACTCACAGAAATGTTTTCTCTTTTCAGCAAAACCCAAAATTACTTATGTCGAGAACCAGACTGCCATGGAACTGGAAGAGCAGGTCACTCTGACCTGTGAAGCCTCAGGAGATCCTATTCCCTCCATCACCTGGAGAACCTCCACTCGAAACATCAGCAGTGAAGAAAAGGTATTATGTCACCCAAGAGTTTCAGGGCGTGGACCACAGACTGAGCACGCTGAGTCTGCCCCCTGCCTGGTTCTTTTTGGTGAGCCAGAGGGTGGGGATTTCATCAGCAGAGGCCACAGTGGCTCCTGTGACTGCCTGCCTGGCCTGCCTGGTCTGCCTGGCCTGCCTGGCTATGGGCTGCTCAGTATCCCCTTGCAAGTGGGAGTACAGTTCCTTTTATATATAAGCAAGGATGTGATGCTGACAGGCTTGGTCAAGTTCACTGTTCCCAAGATAAGGCATTAGGCATTAGCAATCATCAGACTCAGGGTTATAGAGCTGTGAGGAACAAGGATAAACCAAGATGCTGGTGCGCCAGATCATCTCAGGGGCACCCAAGTAAATAGTCTTCCAGAAATAATGGAGATCAAAATAAACCTGTTAATTATGTTCCTTGCATTTTCCATCCTCATGCTATCTATACACTGTATGCCAAAAAGCTTGGCTGCCTTTGTGTCTACCTGTATTCTTGGTCATATTTGGATTTCATTCTGTTCTCAAGGCAAAAATAATTAGCAGTTTCTAAATGGTGATGGTTACATCTGGGCTCTGCAATATTCCCCGTGAGGGTTTTAGAACTTGATAGAAACCCTTCCTGGTAAATTAAAATGCCTGGCAAGATTTAGCTGCATTACACAAGGGTGTGTAGACCATCGGAAAGCTGTCTTTGTCATTGACAATGAATAAAAATCGATATAACTCCTCCACATTATGCAATCCTTTACTATTGGGGAGGCTAAAAGCAGAAAAGAGGAGAGGCCTGGTTTTAAAGCAGCTTAAAGGTACATATGGCACTTTTCCAGCCTCAGCTCATGGGTCCTGTAATAATAGGCTCTGTTTTAGTTGGCCAAGGTTTTGTCACCTATTTAGGAATAATGGTCATAGCCCTTAAAGAACATTTGTAATGGATTGCTTATTGACCACAATGTCAAAAATGATAGATTGTCACTCTTTTGGCTGTGCAGAGGAAATCCCTAGAGAAGAGAAAAGAAGCCAAAAAAGGATAGCGTGAAACACCAGTGCTGAATTTGGAATTCGCATTTGAAGAATTGATTTCTGTCCCACTAATAGAAAGCAAAGCTAAAATCAGAAGGAGCTGAAATCCCAGTTCCAGTAACCCCAACCCCTTCAGTTGTTGGCAAGTTGTTTTGGTCAGCAGCTGAATCCAACTTAACAAAAACTCAACTGAGGAACTGCTAAATATTTTTGAAACTCACATATGCCTTTTGATACATAAAGAGCAACTGTATTAATAAATGTGGATACTTTTCTTTATCATGTCGGAATAAAAACCTTAGCTAAGGTGGCAGCTCCTATAATGTGTTTTATGCAGATGGAATGTCCATTTCAGAGGTGATCCCACAGGACCACTGGTTGGTGGATGTTTCTGCATCACGCTTACAGAAGATTTGTTCAGAGTGGCTCAGTGGATATCTTTGTCCTTGGGTGAAGGACAGAAATACCTTATCTCACATGGATGACACTTTTAAATTCCATATCTTTTCCTGGAACAGCTCAATTGCCAGGCTAAGCCAGAAAGATTATTAAGATTGGTGCCTAACTCAGGTTCTTTAATAGGTTGGCACAATTCTGGTCTCCACCTGTGATTTCACTTTTATAGAATGAGAATAAATAGCCAGAAACTAACAGAAACTTATGGTTACTGAATATTGAGACTGGACATGCCCAGGAGAAACTGCCTGTGCCAGGCCTCATAGGGACTGACTTTTGTACAATTCAGTTATCAGCCCAGCCCTGAATTGTCCGTTTTCTTCTGAAATCATCATCTAAACTCAACCACATAGATGGTGTCACGATAATTCTGGGCTCTCTTCACGTTTACTTAAAGTGACATTATTAGAACATGAGCAAGTCAGTGTTAAAATAAGCCCTCCACCTCAGCCAATGATTGGACATGAGATTAACCCATTTGGCTAAATGAAGTCACAGCTTAAAAAAAAAGCTGCTGTTTCTCTTCATCCTGTATTGGCAGTCAGGAGACATGATGTCCACATTCAACTATAGATGGCTAACAATTAAGAGAATAAATGTGGGCTGTCTGAGAGTGCAGATAAGACATTCCTCTTTAATGCTGGCAACTTTTCTCCCTGTGCTCCAGCTAAAGCTGCATTGACTATCATCAGAGTTCAAGATTACTGTTGTCACTGCATTGTAGGAGTGGAAGAAATTTATTTTGTTTTTAAAAATTGGGATGATTCTCTCAGGCAAAAAATAGATAATGGTATCAAATTGATAAGGGAGAAGCTTCCTGCAATTTAGATCATATAAAATACCTATGTCAGAGAAGATGGGAAGGCACCTTCTGAGGTTTCTAATCTCACCTGGCTCCCTAGTCTCTGGGCCCCTGTACATAGGGTGATGGTATCTGTCCTGTGCAAGGTAGTTGGCCAACACTGAGGCTCAGAAAGGGTCATCTCCTTGCTCTTCCTCTGTTTGGTCCTCCAGCCTTTGTCACTCTGTCCTTTGTGTAATGGCCACTAAAGTAGCTATTCCGCTTCATGTTTGTCAGCCTGCTCGTATTCCGTTCAACATCCAGCCATTATTACTGTTGCTCTTTCATCACAGTCTCCACACTCTGTACCTCTTTAGCTGCCCTGGCCCAGATAGATTCAGTTCACTGGTACTCCCATGGAACACTGTCACGCCTAATGGGAACACATGCAGATTCTAGTGGAGTAATGGCTCCCTTGCTGGTGGACAGTTATTGCATTAGCTCTTTCTCAGTTTCCTCATTCTGCAGCCTCATGTTGAGCTGTTGGTCATCCAGCATGCCCAGATCTGCTTTATGTAAACTGCATTTAAGCTGCACATCTCCCATCTTGTTCTGTGCCTGATTGCTTAATCAATAAGTGGACTGTCTTACTGATTTCTGTCAAAAAGTTACATTTTGTTGTACTGTTCTCAAGAGAGTCACTATGGTAATTTGGGAAGAAGCTTCATTTCCTTAAATTCTCCTATGTTGCAAGACATTGAACATCACTGGTCCCCTTCCCATGAAAGCCACTAGCCACCTCTGATCGTTTCTAAATATGTCACAGGTGCAAACACCTTCTGGCTTAAGAATGAGTATTTGAGTTCATCTTACCAGCTAGCCAGGACCATCATCAGAACTATCCTTAGAAATCTATTTCAACCCCGTCTGGGTTGAAATACATGCATGTTAAATTTAATGAGATAGTCAAAGGTGACCCCAGTCCGGAGCATGGAGCCTATAGGCAGGCAGTTCGACAACCTTCCCATTACAACTGTCATCTAAAATTTGCATGAGCTTTCCTTTCAAGCTTGCTTCTTGAACACTTACTTGAAATATGTTTGTCAAATCACTGATAAAAATGTTGACTGCTATAAGGTCAAGTATAGAATCTTTAAACTGTCAAGGCTTCCCTCTGGCCATGACTCAGAAGGTCCAGCACCTGATACCTTGGAGTCTCAGTTCCCTCTCATGATTTTGGTGACAGTTGTGAAAAGTTCAGTGACCTCTATGATACAGTTAGTTGTGAAGTAAGCTCATTTCAGCAGCTTTGCTTTGTGCTTTGCTGCTTAGTTGGGTCTAATGGTGCCCTTCTTATTGGAAGGGGGACAAAAAAGCTTTCAGCCACTAACACATTGACTTTCTGGGGGGTACCAATGCTGCCCTTCATCAGTAAAGGGAGGGACAAACAGGAACCAGAGCAGAGAGCCTAGATATCATGTCTCTGAGTTGAGTTCAATGCCAGGTTGTTAAGCTTCACCTAGTTGAGTCAGTTTCTTTTTAGCACCTGGTAGTAGTCATACCAAGTCTTATTGTTGAGTTCATTGAGATCGCTAAGGTAGATCAGTTGTACAAAATTTATTCTCTTTCTGTGTGGCCACTCTTGCATTGTGAAAAAAGAAAATATTTGACTGTCATAACAATTCAATTTGTAATCATGTGTGTAAAAATCATTGTGATACTTTAGAAAGTTTGTACATTTGTGCTTTCTTGATGCATCCTACTTGGATTCGTTTTAAATATTGCCAGATATTTGAATAAGTGGAACTAAATACCATGAACCATTTAAGTACTGAAAGAAACCCAGGAATGATGGTTTACATAATCTTTCCCTGACAGAAAAAAAAAATCCACCATTTTCTCATTTAAATATCTCTGTCCTTTGAAATCACTGGGAAAGAAAAGCATATGAAACTTTAATGATTAAGGGAGAGGAAGGAAGTAAAGACTTGAGATCAGAAGAGACAGAGAGGGGGAAGAAATTGATAAACCGTGAGTCTTGGGCTGACAGCATATCCCACAAGTAAGTGAGTACTATTGAAATTCTGCAGTTTTCTTTTTCACCAGGAGGAATTCCTCATTCAGTACAAATCCAGAGCTCACATTTAAACACTGGAAGCTCTGATTGCATTGAGGAGTCAGAACATGGTTTATCCAGAGGATGGGCAAACGTGTAACAGGGGGTAATAGAATTATGATAGGATAATTATAGGGATACCTAACTTTAGTTGTGATTTATATTCCTGTAGACTTATCTGCAAGATCGTAAAACATGTAAATATTAAAACAACCTAGAACTATCCTTTAGTGGAACATTACTTATAGTATCTTCATTTGTTTCATAAATGCATATTTGCATATCAGCTTGTCTTAAAGTTACCACACCTTCAACAAATGATTAGGGCTAAAGACATTTGCTAACGTTCCACCAGGCACACAGAGAAAAAAGGTCAAGTTACTAGAAAGCGTTATTACTACCAATTACTTATTCCAAACACCTCAGAAGACATGAAAAGAATCGGATTTAAGAAAACTATTCCATATGATATATCCCTTTTAAAATATGCAGCCTTGGTATGTCGCAGAAAACCTTCTGAGTGATGTGAAACTGGCAACCACATTTGACGTGTTGACCCACTGTTCTGTTGGTCTGTGCATGTTCCTGCTTTCTCACTTTCTTCATACCAAC